CTCAGTCACACTTAAATCCAGATTCGTCCTCACCGAGTCCCACCACCAAGGGAGCGCCAGCAAGGAGATGCACATATGGGGATCCCCACGCAGTGAATAATTGAGTGTAGTCAGTTGTCTACCGTTGTCGGCGTCGTCATGATACCGCGCTTGCCCAAGTCACCGACTCGCACTGAAGTGCCCCACAGGAAGTGCCCAGCGGTCAGCGCCACCGCGGCCGCGTCCGTCGCGCCGCACTAGCTGGTCGCTGCGCGCGCGAGCATGCGCGGGCTAGCGCGGCCGCAGAGATGCACCAGCCAACGCCAAGCAGTCATCGCAATCGCCGTCGCACGGGTTTTGAAAACCAAGTTGCGGGTGGGTGGGTGGGATGATTGCGCGAGCAGTGGAGGTTGACAACTTCACTGCGAGATTGGTGGAATTGCACACCATCTATTGCCCACGTAGTGCACCACATATCCGTAATCATTGTTGGCTGCAGGAAGTGTGGCGTTTGGGTGCCTTGCCAATCCTCTGGCCAATAGACTTCCGCGGTCGGCGGCGATATGCGCGAGCTCGTTCACATCCAGGGCGGCCAGGTGCGGTACACCAGAATATAGGCGAAATTCTGGGAGGTGTTTCAGATGAGCGGACGGAATTGGACCCCACGGGCACCTACCCGGCGACTCCGACCTCCAGCTTGAGCGGATCAACGTGTACTACAACGAGGCCACGGGCGGGCGCTACGTGCCCAGGGCGGTGCTCATGGATCTGGAGCCCGGCACCATGGACAGCGTCCGCGCGGGGCCGTTCGGACAGTTATTCCGGCCGGACAACTTCGTATTCGGCCAGACTGGAGCTGGAAATAATTGGGCGAAAGGGCACTACACCGAAGGAGCCGAGCTGATCGATAGCGTCCTCGACGTCGTTCGCAAGGAGGCCGAGGGGTGCGATTGCCTGCAGGGTTTCCAAATGTGCCATTCCTTGGGAGGAGGCACAGGCGCTGGGATGGGAACCCTGCTAATCTCCAAGGTCCGCGAGGAGTACCCGGATCGCATCATGGAGACTTTCAGTATTATCCCCAGCCCAAAAGTTTCGGATACCGTCGTGGAGCCGTACAACGCCGTCCTTTCTTTCCACCAGCTCGTGGAGAACGCGGACGAATGTTTCCTGTTGGATAACGAGGCGCTGTATGATATCTGTTTCAGGACGTTGAAGCTGACGACTCCAACGTACGGGGACCTGAACCACCTCGTGAGTGCGGCGATCAGTGGCGTGACCACGTGCCTGCGTTTCCCTGGGCAGCTCAATTGTGATTTGCGCAAGATCGCCGTGAATCTGATCCCGTTCCCGCGCCTGCACTTCTTCATGACTGGTTTCGCGCCGCTCACGAGCCGAGGTTCCCAGCAGTACAGAGCCCTGACAGTCCCTGAGCTGACCCAGCAGATGTTCGATGCGAAAAACATGATGTGCGCGGCAGACCCACGTCACGGTCGCTACTTGACCGCCGCGGCGCTCTTCCGCGGTCGCATGTCCACGAAGGAAGTTGACGAGCAGATGTTGAACGTGCAAAATAAGAATTCGTCGTATTTCGTCGAGTGGATCCCGAACAACATCAAAGCGTCAGTTTGCGACATCCCCCCGAAGGGATTGAAGATGGCGGTGGCTTTCGCCGGCAATTCTACCGCGATCCAAGAAATGTTTAAGCGTGTAGCAGAATATTTCACTGCCATGTTCCGGCGCAAGGCGTTCCTTCATTGGTACACAGGGGAGGGCATGGACGAGATGGAGTTCACCGAGGCCGAGAGTAACATGAACGACCTGGTTTCCGAGTACCAGCAGTACCAGGACGCCACCGCCGAGGAGGAGGGCGAGTTCGACGAAGAAGAGGAGGGCGAGCAGTGATGACGTCATTGACTCGCTGTGGCCAGCCTCCGAGGTCGTGCAACAGATGTGTGAGCAAATCAGTGCTGATGGGCCGTCGGCCAAGTACACATTTATGCATGTTGAGCGGCCGTTTCCCCGCTCACCGCGAGAGTTTGCCTCGAGCTCGGACGGCCAGACTGCCAGACCGTCTTCCCCATCTACGAAAAAAAGATTGCGCCACGCAGAGTGCACAACATGTACCGCACAACATACACTGCGGAATACATGCTGCACCACACGCACTGCACCACCCATGGTGCTCCGCATGCGCTGCATAACATGGGTTGTGCCTCGCAGATTGCACCACATCGACTGCACAACGTCGATTGTCAGGAGGGAAAAAAAAACACAGACACAATGAATCGTCGACTCCCCAGAAAATATGGGAAAATATGGGAAGTGGGGGGGAAGACAAAAACCCAGAAAATATGGGGAGATATGGGGAATATGGTTATTTGTGTCTATTTATTCGTGTGTCCTAGGGCCCCTTCAGATTGCGAGAATATAAGCTGCTTGGGGTCCACGCTGGCTAACACCTGCTTCTTCCTCTGCACCCGACCGCTCGGCTGTGGGAGCTGGTCCACCCCCCCCCCGGGGCTGCCCTGGGCCTCCAGCGTGGCTCCGGAGGGCCCCGGAAGAGCCCCAGGACGGGGTCCCGAGAGGGCTCCCGTGCACCGACTTGCGACAGGTCTAAGTCGGGCCTGTCCCTCTACAGGAGGGATAGTCAAACATAGTTTTAAGACAATAGCCTGGGGGGCGATTTCTTGACTATTTTTGAGTATGTTTGGGGTATTTTTTGAGTGTAGTCAGTTGTCTACCGTTGTCGGCGTCGTCATGATACCGCGCTCGCCCGAGTCACCGACTCGCACTGAAGTGCCCCACGGGAAGTGCCCAGCGGTCAGCGCCACCGCGGCCGCGTCCGTCGCGCCGCACTAGCTTGTCGCTGCGCGCGCGAGCATGCGCGGACTAGCGCGGCCGCAGAGATGCACCAGCCAACGCCAAGCAGTCATCGCAATCGCCGTCGCACGGGTTTTGAAAACCAAGTTGCGGGTGGGTGGGTGGGATGATTGCGCGAGCAGTGGAGTTGACAACTCACTGCGAGGATTGGTGGATTGCACACCATCTATTGCCCACGTAGTGCACCACATATCCGTAATCATGTTGGCTCAAGAAGAGGTGTGGGCACTGGTGCTCTGCCAATCTTCTGGCCAAGAGACTTCTCGCGGTCGGCGAGATGCGCGAGCTCGTTCACATCCAGGGCGGCCAGTGCGGTAACCAGATAGGAGCGAAATTCTGGGAGGTGATTTCAGATGAGCACGGGATTGACCCCACGGGCACCTACCACGGCGACTCCGACCTCCAGCTTGAGCGGATCAACGTGTACTACAACGAGGCCACGGGCGGGCGCTACGTGCCCAGGGCGGTGCTCATGGATCTGGAGCCCGGCACCATGGACAGCGTCCGCGCGGGGCCGTTCGGACAGTTATTCCGGCCGGACAACTTCGTATTCGGCCAGACTGGAGCTGGAAATAATTGGGCGAAAGGGCACTACACCGAAGGAGCCGAGCTGATCGATAGCGTCCTCGACGTCGTTCGCAAGGAGGCCGAGGGGTGCGATTGTCTGCAGGGTTTCCAAATGTGCCATTCCTTGGGAGGAGGCACAGGCGCTGGGATGGGAACCCTGCTGATCTCCAAGGTCCGCGAGGAGTACCCGGATCGCATCATGGAGACTTTCAGTATTATCCCCAGCCCAAAAGTTTCGGATACCGTCGTGGAGCCGTACAACGCCGTCCTTTCTTTCCACCAGCTCGTGGAGAACGCGGACGAATGTTTCCTGTTGGATAACGAGGCGCTGTATGATATCTGTTTCAGGACGTTGAAGCTGACGACTCCAACGTACGGGGACCTGAACCACCTCGTGAGTGCGGCGATCAGTGGCGTGACCACGTGCCTGCGTTTCCCTGGGCAGCTCAACTGTGATTTGCGCAAGATCGCCGTGAATCTGATCCCGTTCCCGCGCCTGCACTTCTTCATGACTGGTTTCGCGCCGCTCACGAGCCGGGGTTCCCAGCAGTACAGAGCCCTGACAGTCCCTGAGCTGACCCAGCAGATGTTCGATGCGAAAAACATGATGTGCGCGGCAGACCCACGTCACGGTCGCTACTTGACCGCCGCGGCGCTCTTCCGCGGTCGCATGTCCACGAAGGAAGTTGACGAGCAGATGTTGAACGTGCAAAATAAGAATTCGTCGTATTTCGTCGAGTGGATCCCGAACAACATCAAAGCGTCAGTTTGCGACATCCCCCCGAAGGGATTGAAGATGGCGGTGGCTTTCGCCGGCAATTCTACCGCGATCCAAGAAATGTTTAAGCGTGTAGCAGAATATTTCACTGCCATGTTCCGGCGCAAGGCGTTCCTTCATTGGTACACAGGGGAGGGCATGGACGAGATGGAGTTCACCGAGGCCGAGAGTAACATGAACGACCTGGTTTCCGAGTACCAGCAGTACCAGGACGCCACCGCCGAGGAGGAGGGCGAGTTCGACGAAGAAGAGGAGGGCGAGCAGTGATGACGTCATTGACTCGCTGTGGCCAGCCTCCGAGGTCGTGCAACAGATGTGTGAGCAAATCAGTGCTGATGAGCCGTCGGCCAAGTACACATTTATGCATGTTGAGCGGCCGTTTCCCCGCTCACCGCGAGAGTTTGCCTCGAGCTCGGACGGCCAGACTGCCAGACCGTCTTCCCCATCTACGAAAAAAAGATTGCGCCACGCAGAGTGCACAACATGTACCGCACAACATACACTGCGGAACACATGCTGCACCACACGCACTGCACCACCCATGGTGCTCCGCATGCGCTGCATAACATGGGTTGTGCCTTGCAGATTGCACCACATCGACTGCACAACTCGGCAACGTGAAGAGGGGGGTCGGGGGAGGGGGGAAGGCTTCCTAGAGGCACCCCTGCTTCTTAGAAGGCGCGGGCCTTCTCTATAGACGTAAGGCCGAGGCCTTCTAAGAAGCAGGGTGCTTCTAAGAAGCCTTCCCCCCTCCCCCTACCCCCTTTTGCGCGCCGCCAAACAACGCCGATTGCTAGAATACAAACTGTTTGGTGTCCACGCTGGCTAACACCTGCTTTTTCTCTCCACCCGACCGGTCGGCTGTGGGAGCTGGTCCGCCCCCAGGGGCTGCCCTGGGCCTCCAGCGTGGCTCCGTAGGGCCCCAGAAGATCCCCAGGACGGGCTCCCGAGAAGGCCACCGTGCCACGACTTGCGGTAGGTTTAAGTCGGGCCTGTCCCTCTACAGGAGGGATATTCAAAAATAGTTTAAGAAATAGCCTGGGGGACGATTTTTTGAGTATTTTTGAGCATGTTTGGGGTATTTTTTGAGTATAGTCAGTTGTTCGCCCAAAGTCCCCCTGTAGGGGGACAGGCCCGACCTCACGGCAGGTTCGCGCCGTGTCGACTGGCGGCGGGCTCGCCGCCGGCGACCCACGTGGAACGCCGCTGGTGACTCAGAATCGGTCGATGTTGAACGATCTGACGCTTCGGAGACGGTCGATCGCTCGCCCGTCGTGTGGCCAGTGCCTCCTAGCCCATGGGGCTGCTGGAGGTACTCTTTCGGTCATTGAGGTCTCTCCCTCACTGCCAGCAGTGGTTTCCCAGCCGCCGCTGCTGTGCCTTTTTTCATCTAGGCTGTGCGGGCGTTGAGCTAAAAAAAAAAAAAATCAAAGTGGAGCGATCCCCGCGACGTCAGGAGCCAACCGCCGAAGTCGTCACGACATGATTTTGCCGTGGAGGGCCGGAGTCCCGACAGCGCGTCCAGGGCCTCCGGGGACGTCCCGCGCCGAGGCCCCCTTGCTGAGTGCGCGAGGGCGCCTGGGATCGCCCGAGAGCTTACACGTGGGAACGCCTGAGAGGCCCACACTCCACTCAGCGCCTGCGGTAAGTCGGCGGGTTGTTTTCAGACGCGGGCCGCAGCTGAGGAAATAGCACGTGCCAGAGGCCCCACGGCGCAGCCGCGAAGGAAAGCGACACCCGCCACCACCTACTGGGGTTTTATATGGGGGGCAAACAAATTTTGGTGATCGCTCAGCATGCTGATCATTCCGTACTCATGTGTTATCAAATGGTGGCAGCTTGGGAATATGATGCGAATGAGGGAAAACACGCTGCAGTTTGATCCTCCACCGAAGCCCCTCCCTCGCCGTATGCTGACCTCCATCATGGTCGTTCAGGGGTGGGGTATCTTTGTATGCACAGAGCTTCCGGCACAGATGGGTAGTGAAGCCATTCGCGTGAGTTGCTGGCATGACTCTCTTGTGTTGTGCGTGTTCCATGCGATCCATATCGAGCCCGTGCCAATCGTAAGTGAAGAATTGATGGGGGTACAGGCTTGCGCTGTCAGCAGCTTGCCATTTGTCTACGAGAACGAGCCGCTGCTGGTTACCCGGGAAGAGGGTGGGGTGAAATACAGGGGAAGCGAGGCCGATATGCCCCCAGCCGTGCACGCGGATTGCTTGAGCTGGACCTTCAGCAAAACGGTAGGTCCACGTGGTTTTGGCGCAGACTTTCCTGGTCGATCTACGATGTCGACGTCTTGTCGCGAGTTGAAGCGTGTCAGGAGTTTTGTCCCCTCTGTCAGGAGAGAGGTCTGGGCGGAGTCGGCACTGCGAGTGGACCGCGCCCTCCCCAATCCTTCCTAACACAACCGATGTTCGGTTGCGGAGCCATGCGCATGCGCCACCACGCTGTGGCGGGGTGAGCGTGAGCGGGGGGCGGGGAGCGGGGGAGTTTGCGAGGGGTGGGTCCACGGCCGTCGCTGCTCCACGCTTGGGTTTTGCTCCCGTTTTCGGCCCTCCCGTGTCGTTGGGTCCTCGCTTTGAGCACGCAGCGGCGCGCGCAGCTCCCCGCCTCGTTCTCCTTCCCCACCCTCTGCTCCCCGCCCGACGGCCCACTCAGGCACGCTCCTCACGCTTCGTGCCCCGCAGGGAGCACCGCCCACGTCCCGGGGTGGGGGTGTTGCGCATGCCGCCCCGCGCCCTCTTCGGCACGCCGCGCACGCGTCCCGTGCCCCCCAGGGCGAGCTCAAGCGAGCCTCTGCGCGCCCGCTCCGCGTCCCCATCCTCGCTGCCCCGAGCTTCATCCATCCTGCTGCACGTGGCATACAGTGCCTTTTTTAGTACATGCTGCGCGTGCGGATCATGTATTAAACATGCAGGGATTCAGTATCAAAAGCAACGATGAGGTCGTGCATGAAATTATTCATATATTAATCATGTATTAAACATCCCATTTTTTTTCAAAATCCAATGTATTAAAAACTGCCCTGTATGAGGAGCGAGGCACGTCCTGCGCTACACGCAAGCTGCGCAGGGTAGGACCCTTTGCCAGGCAAGTTTTCGCTCGGAAGGCGAACCCCGCAGGGTCTCGTAGCAACACATTTGAAACAAGTGAGGTTCTATGCGGTGTAACTGGTCAGGTCAGATGGGACTTGTCTGGCAACCCCATCCCAAGTGACCAGCCTTCAACTGTCCGTTCGAGACCACGACGTCCTTCCCCACCCGTCCCTAGGTCTTCTGAGGTGCCAGCGCGACAGACGATCAGGAGGAGGAGGTGGAGGAGGAAGAGGAGGAGGAGGAAGAGGAGGAGGAGGAAGAGGAGGAGGAGGAGGAGGAGGCGGAGAAGGAGTGGCACAACAGTTTGCGGGCTTGGGAGCCATGTTGCCGTTGTAGGCCGCTGGACATGACTTGGCGTGTCTAGTGGCTCGCAGGGCTCCAGGTCTCGTCTCCCGGGAGAGGCGCAGGGGGAGGAGGAGGAGGAGGAGGAGGAGGAGGAGGAGGAGGAGGAGGAGGAGGAGGAGGAGGAGGCAGGGGCATGCGAGGCCGTAGGGAGAGCCCCCTCGCGCGTGTCGGACTCTGGGGGCCAGCTCTGGGACTCTCGAGCTCGGTTCCGCGTTCGCGGGGCCCGCGGGGCGGGAGCCGCGGCGGGCCCCCCCGGGGGGAGGCCTGCGCGCAGATCTGGCAGTCGTTGGGTATCTGGGATGCCGCCTTGACGTTGGGCGGTGCCATGCCGTGCCATGCCAAGCGCTCGCTGGGGGGGGGGGGTCGGGCAGCCTCTTGCGTGTCCCAGGGGAGTGTGAGGCAGGAGATGCGTGAGGGGTGTGCAGAATTGGGGGCCTCCGTGGCCTTGCGATGGCACCATGCACTGACATGGTTACGCCTCCCAGGGTAGCGTCAGGCAGGAACTGCGTAAGGGGTGCGCCGAGGCGATACTCTCGTGGCCCTCGGGGCGCGGATCGCATGTATTTTTTCGTGCCCCATGATCTGTGATGCAGCCCGGCCTTGCGGAATGCGCGGAGGTCTTCCCAGCACGTCTTACGCATATCATCTCTTCATGCCATCATCATCATACCATCATCGTAATCGTCATCGTCATCGTCATCGTCATCGTCATCATCATCATCATCCTCATCCTCATTCTCATCCTCATGCCTTTCCTCGTCCTGATCCTCATCCTCATCCTCATTCTCATCCTCAGCATTCCCACCATCACCATCACCATCATCACCATCATCATCACCATCATCATCATCATCATCATCATCATCACCATCGTCACCATCATCACCATCATCATCAAGATCCTTATTATCATCATCACCATCACCATCACCATCGTCACCACCATCATCATCAGCATCATCATCACCAGTATCATCATCATCACCACCATCACCATCATCATCATTATCAGTATCGTCGTCATCATCACCACCATCAGCATCATCATCATCACCACCATCATCATCATCACCATCATCATCATCATCATCATCATCATCATCATCATCATCATCATCATCATCATCATCGTCACCATCATCGTCATCATCAACACCATCATCATGTTTCGAAGCTTGAAACGGCGAGGGCCCGCAGGGGGCGCCGCCGAATTCAATCGCTTCGTGCAGTCCGCTGGCCCATCTTGTATCACAGCTGCCACTTTCCAGTGTTCGCGCGGGAATTGGGAAGTTGTTGTTGGGTTGTGGTAGTTTCCCCGAGCTGTCGTGTCGGGCATGCGTAGGGGGAAGTAACCGCTGAGTAGATGAGTCTAGGGACGTAACTCAACGGAACGCGTCCCTGAACCAGTTTCCGCCATTGGAGCTCATTCAGAGAATGTCGGGAGCACTCTTTCAGACTCTCATGGGCGTCTGGGGGCCTCTTGCGGGCTCCTCGTGATCCTCACAGGGGCTTATCGGCGCCTCTTTTTTTGGGGGGGACTCTTTCGGGCATCCGAGAAGGGCATGCTCGGCCATCACATGCTACACATCGGCGGCGAGCGAGGGGTGGAAGTGAGAAGGGGCGGGTCTTCTCAGAAGGCTCGGAAGCCCCCCTGGCCTCCTGTGAAGAGTTCTAAGCCTCCCCCGAAGACGCAACAAAAACCTCGCAGCTGGCGCGAGGGCCTCCGAGGAGTCCCGCCTCCTCCTGAGAGGGCCTCCTCCTCCTGCCTTCCCCCCGCCGCGCGCCGCCGAAGAAGTGCTGTCCACTGGCCGGCCGCGGGCCATC